GTGGTGGCTCCAACCCAGGCGCTGCCAGGGACCACCTGGGTGACATCGGGCAACACACTTGCCCTGAGACTCTCCGGCCTCCCTGGGTCAGAGGGCACAAGGAGTCCTGCCTGGCAGGAGTGAAGCTGCCTGTCCTGAAGGATCTTTGGGATGCTGCTGGGAAATAGGGCAAGACTTCTCCATTCGCTGGGCAGGGCACCAACCTACAGCCCCAGCAGTCTGGGCATCTCTAACAGCCCAAATCCCACCTCCGCCACAGCGCCTGGGGTGGGGGGCTGGCTGCCTGGGCAGCTCCCTTTGCCCTCTTGTCCTGGTGCAGCGGGGGTCACTGGTCCTGCTTGGGGACTGGTTCTTCCCTCTCTAGTGGGCTGCTTTGAGCTCCGGGGTAGTCTTAGCCATCAGCCTGGGCGCCCCACTGGCAATTTAGAGGGTAAACTGAGGCTCAGAGAGGGGAGCCACTTGCCCAGGGTTATTTAGTCCATCTACGGTGGTGAGCTAACAAGAACTGGGCTCTCCCTCCTGACCGACTCCTCATATTTTCCCGGTTCTCTCTGCCCCTTCCGGAGCATCAGCTTTTAGCTGGGCACGCCCCTCCCCTCCTTCCCTGGGCACATGGATGTTGGCTGTGGCCTCTGGGAATGGAGGCATGGCAGTACTCATTCTCTCCACCTAGGGGCGCCCACAGCCAGTGTTTTTTATTTCCAGGCAGAACCATGTCAATTTTCATTGTTGTTGAACATGAACTAGGGTGATGTCTTCAGTTTCCTGTGCTTCGGTGCCATGCGCTTTTGACAGTTCTATCACGTTTCTGACAGTTGTGAATTTTCCCTTCTGGGATTTTGGGATGTTGGGGCCTAGGTGGGGAAGCCACATGCTCCCCCAAGAGGCCTTCCCCCTCCCCCAGATTCTGTTGATGCCTGCTTAGCGCCCCTCCTTCTTGTCCAGCCTTAGCTTGTACATGCCAAGGGGGAGGCCCTGACTGCCCATAGAGAGTGCTGGCAGGAAGTGCTTCTTTGTACCACATTCTCTCCTAGTTTGGGGGAGCAGACAATAACTATGTTCTCAGGTCTGTCCCTCCCCCTCCCCCCACCCACTAATACCCCACGTCTCCCCAGCACACAAAGAATGCTTCTCTCGCCACGTGTCCCAGTTAGACCCCTCTGGCCCCTGCAATAACACCTGGTGGCCACTGGGGCCAAGGAAACCGCTGGTTGTGGAGCAGAAAAGAGGGACAAGGATCAAGGCCTGGCTCTGGTGAGGCCCAGCAAAATCATCGCTGCTGAACAGACAAGCCCATGCCGTCAGGGCTTTGAACCCCCAGCCTAGCCAGGATCCCCAGTACTCAGAGGCACCCTGCTCCAGACACACATCAGAAAGCCAGACTTAAGACACAGCACGACTCCAGAGCCTCGGAGAAGACAATTCGGTAGGAAGGAGGCCCGGATGAGGGTGTGGGGCCGGCCAGTGCCAAGGAAAGCCTTCCTTAGGGGCCCCGCCAGGATCTCTGCCTCCAGTAACTCAGGCTTGCTGTCCCGCTAGGGACGGCCCGGGGGCAGGACTACCTGGAGGCCCCTCTCAGGGCCTGGCACACACTAGTTCCCACGGAACTGAAATGTGTGAGCCCAAGCCACACTCCCTGCTGCACCAGACCCTGCCAGCCCTGTTCCCAGGGAGGGAGATAATCCTGTGCTGGAAGCTCAGTGACGTGGAACTGTCCCGGTGCCCACTTCCATCTGTTCCTGCTGAGCGAGCAGGAATGTCTTCCTGCACGCTGACACGAGCGAGTGCTGGGACCTGAGACTTCAGGGCAGCCATCCTGCACACCACAGGTGTCTGCCCCCTTGCCCTGGTGCCGCCACCAGGGCCCTGGCTCCAGCCCCATCCTGGTCGCTGAGTCCTGGCTGAGAGGTGGGTGGAGACTGGTGGAATGGATGGGTAGATGGCGGACGTGGCAATATCAACCTTGCAGGCTGTGATCTCCAGACGGGAGTTTGAATCTCACTTCTAGCCTCGGGCACTTTCCCGCCCTTGTCTGAGCCTCAGTTTCCTCACCCATAAAATGGGGATGGTGATGGTTACCCCTGGGGTGGTCGTGAGGATGAAGAAGGAAATGTTTCCAAAGTGCCTGGCCATTATTAGTGTCCGGATCAGCATGCTTCCTCATCACCTCCTACACCCCACCGAGGAACTCCCCCCGGCCCCCAACCAGTGGCCGCCACTCTCCCCGGCTGCCCACAGTGCAGGACAGAGCCCAGGCCCCTGAGCGCAGACTCACGGGAAGCACAGCCCGCCTCGTCGGCTCCGCTCTCGCAGTCCTTCTCCCCATCGCAGCGCCACGACGCAGGCACGCACTTGTGGCTGGTGGGTCCACAGCTCAGCTTCTCTGCCGGGCACACCTGCTTGGCTGGGAGGACAGAAACGGGTAGGGTTTAGCCAAGGTGGGCACAGGCTATGGCACCAACCAGGCCTGTTCAGCCTGGCTCTAGTCACCTTCCAGTTTCTTTCTTTGCGATCGCTGAGTTGATTTCAATTTCTAGGACTCTACGAGATAAAGCAGAATTGCCTCGTAGGATGTTCTAGGCGGTCATATTGGCACCGGGTCTTTTCTCTTACAGAGCCAAGGGGGAGGTTTGAACCCCCAACCTATCCACGAGCAGCTGAACTCTAACTGTTGGGCCACCAGGGCTCCTTTGTGTGCGCCTCAACCCAACCCAAACCACAAGAACTCAGAGTGACCCTGCAGGACAGAGAAGAACTGTCCAGAGGCTTTCCGGGGCTGTCAGCTTTACAGAAGCAGACTGCCTCATCCTCCCCCACAGAGTAGCCAGTGGGTTTGAACCCATGACTTTGTGGTTAGCAGCTGAACATTGGACCACCTTTGCCCCTAGGGTTCCAACTGCGCCCATGGCTTCCTGAGCCTGGCATTCAGGTCCCTCCTGACAGGCTGGCCCTACAGGCTGCATTGGGCCCTACCTCCCACTCCACCTGTCCTCCCCATTTGAGAGCCGGAAAGCTGAAGTCATCATGCCACACGCTTCCTCCTCGTTTCCCAGCTGGGTGCCCTTGGGCCAAGCACGCCCTCCCTGGGGCTCAGCCTATCCTCTGGATGGACCCATAACTCCATGACCTAAACGTGTAGCTTGCAGGGCTCACCCAGGACCCCTCTGCTGGGACCCCACCTGGCCTCTCCTTTGGTGTTACTGCGGGGAGCAGCATCGCCTGGCCCAGCGGGACTGCACAGCTATAATTACTGCTGAGCAATCAGAGGCTGACTCAATCAGAGGCCTGGAGCCTCAGGCTGGATTCTCAATTGGGAAGAGAAAATGCAAGCCAAGTTCAAGGCTGGGAATGGTGGCTCCTGCCCCAGCAGGAGGAAGGTGAGTGGTGCCCCAGCTACCACCAACACTCGCTGCCTGTGCACACCTGGCCAGCAGCTTAGCTCTGCACCTCGGGCCCTGCGCCGCAAAGTGGGGACACTGCAATCCCCTGCATCCCCGGATGGCTAGGACCACTAGAGGACTGCACGGGAAGCATTCAGGAGAAGAGCCAGCCCAGGAACCCAGGAAAGCCACCTATTATTATTAATTGCGCGTAGCCCAAGCAGGCTCCCGGGCTGTGACTGGAATCGGCTCAGTGGAGAGAGCACAGGGTGGGGATTCAAAGTCAGCCTTGTCTGAGGCCAGGCTGGAGGCACTGTGCGTGTTAGCCCAGAGCTAGGGACCACTCCTGCCTTACCCCCTGGGCTGGAGAGCGGGGTGCAGACAAGTGGGGTAGGGAGGGCAGGTGTCTGAGCCAAGGCCCTGGACCCTGCCGTGGCTTGGGAGAGAAGGGAGGCCCCCAAAGTCACCCTCGAAGCAGAAATCAAACTGCTGGGAATGGAGGAGGCAGGGGTGAATGCTGCGGACATCATTACAGGCGCCGGCGAAGGGACCTGCAGAGGGTTCAGAAAGCCGAGAAGCTAGGTCCGGCCTGCAGTGCAGGCAGGGGGGAAGGGGACTGGGTGTCGGAAGATGGGTCCTTCCTGGCCACCTCCACCACCAACACGGCGAGGCGCCCTGAGCACCCCACCAGAACACAGGGACACAGAATGAGACCAGCGGATGCCCCCCACATGCTCTCTGATCAAGGTGCGCCAAGGGGGCGTTGAGAAATGCAGGTGCCTGGGCCCCAGTCCTTATCAATTGAGCGCTGACTTTAAAGGCAGAGCCTCGGCACCTGCATTTTAATAGCCACCCTCCCCAGCCCACCCTCCCCACTGGGTGAGTTCCTGAACCTGCCCTATGAGGTGCCTGGGTGCACACAACACATCTACAAGGTCTGGGGCACATCTTGTCTTTGACCGCCCTCTTACATTAACTCCCACGAAACAATATAGTGCCTTCCACGTTTGCAGTCTCCCAAGACGGGCAGACAAGGCACCTGCTGACCCCTGAACTAAGCCTGGGGAAGCAACCCCACAAAGGAGTTAGAAGGGACCGTATCTCCGGTGTTGGCTGAGCCAGGCGGGCCACTCACACTCAGCGCCCCCTGCGGGCAAAGCCGGCACTGCAGGCTGTTGGCACGAGCTCCTGGGGTGCCATTCACAGAGACCACCACGCCACGTGCACATCCCTAGCGTGGAACAGGGTGGTGGTCCCACAGGGAGCCACTCTGTTTCGCAGGGGAGGAAATTGAGGTTCAGAGAGACCAAGGTCCTGGCCAGTAGGTAAGAGACAGATCCAGGTTCCTTTATTCTGTCCACTACAAAGAGAGAAGGCACCCAGCGCTAGCCCCCGGGGGACTGCAACGGCCTTGGCCATCTACACCACCTCCAGAGGCCTGGTTTCTGTAGACCCCAACCCAGTAAGTAGGCACCTGAACTTTCTTCTTCTTCTTTTTTTTTTTTTAGCACCTGAACTTTCAATGAATATTTATACAGTTAATTGCATAACCTTTTAGCAAGGACAATGATTAAACAACCCGTCTGCTTCCTTTCTTTATAATTAATAAGACATTTGCTGTGTCCCTAAATAGACAGCTCTAATTGCAGGCTCTTGAGGATCCAGCAGTGCCCGATGCCAACTCCTAGCACCCCCCAAAAAGCCAAGGCTTCATCCTGCAGTGCCAGGCCTCGAGGTCACGTTGGTTGACGAGTGCCTACTGCAGTGACCATGAGAGAAGGACCTTCCTAAGGCTACTTCCAGGGACCTGCCTGTGTGGATTCAGTGCATCGCCAGGAGGGGCCCTAGATCCGCCTGTCCACTGACAGAGTCGGGCTGGGAAAGTGCTGCCCCGTGGCACCTTCCACTGTGGAGGTCACCGCCATCACCTCCACTTTGCAGGGCGGGTGGGGACAGAACAACGGAATTCCCATCTCCAGTCTCTCCAGCCCCTCCCTTGCCCCCTGCTGCCCTTCCCTGAGGCTGAAGGCAGCAGCCCCTACGGCCTAGAGAGGGGCCCCTCAGGGAGGCCTCATGGGCTTGTGCTCGGGCAGGATCCACAGAGGGCCCTCTAGTCTGATGTCCACCCTCAGTGTGCTGACTTCAAGGTCCCCCAGGCACGTAACGCAGGAGGAAGTGTGGCTCGGAGTCACACAGACCTGGGTCCAAACGTCATTTACCAACACGTCGCTTAGCCTGCCTGTCCTGCCCAGTACCTTTAGTAAAACGGGTTTATGGTCTTCCAGGTGCGTGGTTGATTTAAATGAGGAAGCCTTTGCAAGCAAAGCGCAGAACCGGGAACGCACTCAGCACCCTGAGACAAGGTGCCCTGGTTTTGTTTCCTGATATGCAAATGGCTGGTGGAGGGGTCTGGGGCACCCCTGGGCACACTCCCTATCATAGTCCACAGAGCGGTGAGATGCAGCCCCACCCCCAGCAGCCATTCTCTGGGATGGATGCCCACAGGGTGTCCCCAGGTTCTGAGAGGCAGTAGTGAAGAACCCCACTGGGTCTCAGGCAGCTGGAAACCCCCTCTCCCCCACCCCACATGCAAGTTGGCAAGGGGACCTGGAACTCCACCTCTCTATCCTTGTCTGCATTCACACGTTCCCGTTCCCGCAGAACCCTGCCCTAGAAAGCCAAATCCCACTGGTACCGACTCCAATTCATAAGTTCACAAACAGACAAAAAGGGAAACACCTGCTGAATGAGAGCACCTGGAGGCTGTGAACTGCTTCTGTCAGTTCAGAGTCTTCCGGCCACAGCCTCCAGATGTGGAGGTCAGCTCCCAGGGGACCTGCAGCTCAGACGTGGGGTGCCACTCAGTGGATCTCCAACCCCAGTCAGCCCCACTCTGGGCATCACACACACACACACACACACACACACACACACACACACAGTCTGTCCCTATGTGATCTCAACAAATCACATTTCCTCTTCAGCGTTCATTTCCATATTTCCAAAAGGAACTGGGAATCCCGGTTATGCATCAGACTGCAAACCCCAAGGTCAGCAGTTCGAATCTACCAGCCACTCTGAGGGAGAAAGATGAGGCTTTCTATTCCTGTAAAAAGTTTCGGCCTGGAAACCCACCGCAGCAGTTCTGTCCTGTCCTATGGGGTCGCTCTGGCTAGATGGCAGTGAGTGCGCACTCCCTCCTGGGAAAGGAAGGAGCCTGTGTGACGCGGTGGTTTAAGCACTCGTCCCCAATAGAAAGGTTAGCGGTTCCAGCCCATCCAGAAGGCTCCAAGGAAGAAAAGACTTGGTGATTCATTCCTCTAACAATCACAGCCTAAAAAACACCGTGTGTGTGTGTGTGTGTGTGTGTGTGTGTGTGTGTAGTCTGTCACCTGGGGGTCACTCCACCACAGCAACTGTGGGAAAGGGAGAATGTGGCTGACCCGCCAGCTCCATCCCCACCTTCCAGGAGGGAAGGCTCTCCCTCCGTTTTCAGTTAGCAAGGGAGGCAGGGGGGGAAGAACTCACTCACCTTGGGCCACCCTCCCCCACTCCCCCGCGGCCCTCCCCACAGCCAACTGAAGGTGGGTCAGAAGCCATCCCCAATCAAGTGAGTTATAATTAGAGCTGAATTGCTCCTTCATTAGGCAAATGTTCTGGGTTTTCCTGTGTGACTCCTGGCTGCCATTGAGAGACAGAACCCAGAGGCAGCCCTGGGAGAGACTCAGCCAGCGGAGGACCTGGGGCCGGCCGGTCCCAGCCCCTGCTCTCCTCTCACTCAAACTATTGTACCAGCTTCAGTTGGCAGGCATGGAGGGGGGAGGGGTGGGGATGCTGTCAGGAAAGGACCTGTTGTCCAAACAGAACAGTAAAAACAGCACGGGCCGTTCCTCCAGTGTGTGGACACCTGCACTTGATCTTTACACCCTGTAAGGTAGGCATGACACTCCATTAAACAGAGGAATGGACTGAGGCGGCGGGAGATTGGGCCACTTGCCTGAGGTCTCTCAGGCTAGAGGGCCTGAACCAGTCACACCGGACAACGACACATTAGGCTCTTCTGCCTACAATAATTTTTGGATGTGTGTGTGTTGTGTGTGGAAGGGGCTCTACCCTGGGAGCTGGCACAGGCCCCGGGAACCTGGTAGGCCCTGGAGGTTGCTATAGTAACGCCAATTAAATGGGCAGCGGGGTGGTTGCCAGGTTCCCATTTAGGGAACAAGTCTGCTACAGAGTCCTGGCACCCCAAATTCTGCCTGATATTTGGGGTCCCCCTAGCTGACCTCTTCTCCATCCTGGCCACCTCCAACCATGATAACCACACAGGAAGTGGACCCTGGACCTTGTGTCCTGCTGGGCACGGGCAAAGGAGACACGGGGTCTTAGCAGCCCTCTTAGAGCCCCAGGCGGTGAAGTCTTTGGAATTCTGCAGTGTTAGAGACTGGGGTCTCGGAGGGTACAAGGAGCATGCAGGACCTTACGCGTTACCAGGAAGCCCTGAAGAGGGGTGTTGCCTTCACGAGGCCCCAGGACACCCTGCAAGCCTCAGAGGAGCTCTGGTCCCCGGAGAGAGGCCTGCCGGGAGTCGCTGCCTCAGTTGTCAAGTGCCTTCGGGCCTGGCCCAGAGGCAGGCGGGCCCTGCCCAGTCAGGGAGGGAAGGGTGTGTGTGAGCAGGGGGGCTGAGGGGCGGGGCGGGGTGAGGGTGGAAGAGAGACAGGCATGAAGAGCAGCAACACAAAGAGACAGCGGTGTGGGGATGAGGGGCGCAAGACAGCCCCCCAGGAACAGCCATGTTGGGGCTCCTCTTCCCTCCCAGCCAGTTGTGGAACACCACAGTTGCCCTCTGGCCTGGAGTCCCTGAGTCAGCTGGGCAGCCCTGGGCAAGTGCTCAATCTGCCCCGGCCTCAGTTTCCCACGTGGGCGGGATCGGCAGCAGGTACGGCAGGACTTTGTGTCTGCAGATGCAGAGACAGGGCTGGGCTTCCCTCCTGCCCAGGCGGGGGACAGCCCTGAGGGAGGAGAGGGCAGGGTGCGGGGCAGGGCTGGGGGCAAGGGCAGCTGTTCAAGGAAGCGAGGACCCTTTGTCTGGGGCGGGGTCGCTTGCTCTCCCTGCCTCTCCCTCTCTCACACACAAACGGGTGACTCTGTTGCTAGGAGACGAGGAACCCCGGTTACCACCAGCCACAGCCCTGGATAGGACTCTGGCCGGCACTGTCCCTGCCTCTGCCTCTGGGGAGGCTGTGACCCCTCCAGAGGGGCTCCTGGGTCCTTGCCAGATGCCCCCCACCCACCCCACCATCCTCCACGTGCCCCCTCCCCCAGTCCTTTGTCTCTGGCATTCACGCTGCAGCTCCGTCTTGGGGATGGCTGGGGTCTCCCCGCCCCCTTCTCATCTCCTTTTTAATTTAGCAAATGTCACGGAATGACCTGCTGGGTGTAAGTTTGCTTTGAGGATTAGGGCCTGGAACAGGAATCAAGGGGAGACAAAGCCCTGAGTGTGGGGGGCGGGCCTGGAGCTGGCAGGGCTCTGCGCCGCCGCTGGCCCAGGGTTGCCTCCGCCTGCCTGCCCGCCTCCACCCAGCCGGCCAATGCGCAGCTGCCCCAGCTTTCCCAGACCCAGGGCTCAGCCCTCAGGTTCTCCAAGCCCCCGCTGGGGTCTCTGGGCAAGTCACTCAACACCTCGCGCTCCAGGCTCGGGCTCGGGCTCGGCAAAATGCAGAAAGTGACAGTCCCCACCTACTGAGGCTGCTGTCGGTACAATGAGCTGAGCACACCAAGAGCGGAGTGGCAGCGTCAGGCAATCAGCAAGCACTTAATACCCGTCAGCAGCCGGGCACTGTTAGGATGAGGGCCCTCCAGAGAAATATTGGGGGGGACCAGGTGGTGGGCAGGAGGTTCAGGGGGCTCCTAGTGCTCTGGGAACAGGGCAAGAGGGTGGGGCGGGAAAGCCCAGGCACCAGTAACTAGAAAAGCAGCAACCAGACACACCTACTGATCAGGGCCCCCACCCCCAGGCAACCAGGCGCAACCTCCCAACAAGGCAGTGCTCCTGAGGACATGGGGGCCCAGGGCCAGGCCCACCCTCCGGCCTGAGCGGCAGGACTCACTACAAGTGGCCTCGGACTCGTCGGAGCCGTCGGGACACTCCTCCTCGCCGTCACACTTCCAGCGCTCGGGGACGCAGTGGCCGTTGGCGCAGGTGAAGTCGCTGTCCGCGCAGGTCTTCTTGGCTGTGGGGGGAGGGGAAGAGCGTGAGGGGCCTGGGGAGCATGGGAGGCTGTCCTAGGACACCAGGTCACAGGGTAGCAGGCCCACCAGGCAGAGGGAGGGACAGACCAGCAGGTGGGGACAGGTGACACCTGGCCCTGCTCTCCAGGTGCTCAAGTCCAGCAAGACTGGCAGGCTCCATCTCACAAGAGCATGCCCATCCCTGGCAGAGCCCAGCTTTCCCCTCAAAGCCCAGCCCTACCGTTCCCACCTTCCAGAGGCCTTCCCGAGACCCGTGGGCCGGGTCTAAGCCCCCGCTGCCTGCTTGTCCCATGTCCCCAACCAGACAGGACAGCTTCCCCAGGCACCCAGGGAGCGCTTGATAACGGATCCTGAAAGCAATGATTATAGAGTGGTGGGAAGATTAACGGGGTCCTATACACGGTCAGAGTGGTAGAAAGAGCGTCTACTGGGCAGGCTCTGCTGGGGGCACAGGCCTGGGCAGGCCCTGCAGCTGGGGACCTCAGACCTGGGGTTTGAGCCCAGCTCTGCCTCTTGCTAGCTGCGTGGCCTTGGGATGTTAAAGCTCTGAGCAAGCATTCTCTTATCTGCACAGTGGGAGGAGGAAGCCCAGGCCTCTGGGGAGGAGTCACGGGAAGCTGTGCGCAGCAAGAACAGCCAGCAGAGATGGAAGTGAGGGAAATGGGGTGTCCTGTACCCTCACAGGGAACGCAGGCTGAGCTCTCAGAGCTGGGAGTAGAGCTGGGACAGGCACACCAGGACACTGGCTAGCCCAGGGCGCAACTATGATGCCTCTGTGGTGTCCTCGTGGTACAATGGTTAACAGAAAGGTCGGTGGTTCGAACCCACCAGTCGCTCTGAAAGAGGAAAACGAGGCAAGGCTAGTGCAGTGAGGCCAAGCAAAAGCTGGTCTGTCCAACAGCGCAACACACCTCCATTAGAGCACCTGGCGAGCCACTGGCGGGCTGCTCACCACAAGGTCAGCTGTTTGAAACCACCAGCCACTCTGGGAGAAAGAGAGGCTTTCTACTCCCGTAGACCTACAGACTTGGAAACTCTGGGGGCCATTCTATCCTGTCCTGTAGGGTCTCCATGAGGAGCAGCGACTCGGTGGCTGTGAGTTTGGCTGGCTGTCAGAGACTAACAAATTGACACACAAATCGCTGTCTGGAGACCTGGGAGGAGCCCTTTCCTTCACAAATATGCACAGGAGGGGGCCCTCTCAGGGGTATGCATAGCTTCCTTCACGTAAGCATAGGAGCTTAAGTCCTTTGTTGGAGGAGGCAGTGATCTGAGCATTATCTCCTGTCTCCTTACTTGTTAGCAAGGGAATACAATTATTCACTTTGCTGGAATGCGCCCTGTGTGTGTGTGCACGAGTGTGGCTTGCTGTTCTTCTCGGCTAACGTCCAGGGGGCGAATCCCTCCAGCCCAGTGACAAGATCACAAGGGCAGCGTTTGCCGGAGGGCAAGGTCCAGGAGGGTCAGGAAAGGAGGAAGACTGGAGACAGGAAACAGAGAGGAGGCGGGCTGAGGGATGCCACACTGCCGAATCGATGGCATGAGACAGAACACAGGGGACTGCTACATGGCAAACATACCTGCACAGTAAGCCTCCACCCAATTCACACCTGAACGGGGAAAAACTGCCCTCAAGAAAGCTCCCCGATCAGCGATTCCACTGAGGGATTCGGATCAACAGAGGGCAAAGACAGAACAGAGTCCCAAATTCTTATGGAATCCAGATTTCAGGAGTCCCTGGAGGCTGGATGAATGCACAATTACTGCCCTGAGATGACACTGAAACTTTAGACCCCAAACATCGCTTGACGGTCGGACGGTGTCAGGTGTGGCAAAACCCCCAAGCAAATAAGGGGTGGAGGTGGGGGTCGGACAGGGAGAGAGGGGGAGCTGATATCAAGGAGTTCAAGAAGAAAGAACATATTTTGAAACTGATGGTGGCAGCCATTGTACAACGCTGCCCGAGGTGACGGAGCCTGGAATGTTATCCTATGTGTGAGAGCTCCCAGTAAACAACCAGACAAACAATAGTTTAGTGTAACTTGTAAAGACTGTCTGCCTTCAACGCTATGCCTTTTCAAGATCTCCCTCTACGGGGCCCGGAGCCCTGCTGGCGTAGAGGGTGACATGGTGGGCTGCCAACGGCAGGGTCAGCGGGTGGTTCCCACCCGCTGCTCCACTGGAGAAGGACCCAGCTTTCTATTCCCACAAAGAGGTGCAGAGTCTCAGAAACGCACACTGGCAGTTCTACTCTGCCCCTGCTGGTCACCATGAGTCAAAATCAGCTTGATGGCAGTGAGTCTGGTTTTTGAGCGTTCCTTAGGGGACCCAGCCCTGGGAACCAAAAGGTTGGCGGTTCAAACCCGCTGCCTGCTCTGCAGCAGAAAGAGGTGGCGTCTGCTTGCATAAATATCACTGTATTACATTACAGCCTTGGAAACCCTCTGGGGCATTTCCACTCTGCCCTGAGAGATCCCGGCGACTTGGAATATAGTTTACAGCAATGGGTTTGGTTCGGTTTGATACCGGATCAAATGCCCCACAGTAGCTAGAAAGATCAGCCAGGGGGCGTGAGGCGCTGATGTGACTGGCGGAAAGAACAAATCAGACCAGGAGGGTGAGAGGGGCCGCAGCCTTGGGAGGAGGCCTCTGAAATTGTTAGCATAGAAAGTATAGTCGCGGTCTGTCCTATGTGTTTATTCTCACGCCACCACCACCACAGTAAGAATAAAGAGATCCCCGTGGGGCGGTCTCCCCCGTAACACACAGGGCCACCGGGGCCAGAAGTGATGGCATTTTCCTTTGGGCCGTCTGGGTGCTTGATTCCTTTCCGGGCACCGGCACCCACGCTGACCACCACTAGCCATCCGGAACAGGAGCGAAGGCCGTTGCCTCGACAGGCTTCTCATTGGGGTGGCCCGTCTGTATCAGACGTGCATGAGCTGAGGGACCTTCCACAGAGCAGGTCCCTCAGACAGGTGAGCACTGTGCAAGGGACTGGCCTTCTCTGAGTCCAGGGAGTGGACGGTGATTCGGCAAGATAAATCTTTCAGGTGTTGCAGACAGGATGCCTGGGAATGGGTGGGGAGAATCTCTTGGCAGCTTAAGGAGAATCTCTCAGCCCAGAGCAGCGACCTCTCCCACGTCTGGATCCCCAACTTAGATCTGCCAGACCCCAAAGCTGAGGTCCTCTTCTTGAATGATCTCGGTGCTGAATGTAACCCCAGGGCCTCTGGCCAAATGTAGAGAGAGCCCCGGGCCCCAGCCCCCTCCACACCTGCCCCCTCCACACCCACGGTACTTATATTGCCTCTCCCGTTCTTGGTCTGAAAGTTCCTTCCCCCAACGCCGCCTCCTTCCCGTTACACACTAGCTAGGTCTCTAGTCAGGGTCACAGCCCCCTCATGCCCAGCTCCCACAATCCCCTGAAAGTCCCTCCAGGTCAGTGGTCAGTAAGCTTCATCTGGACAGGGCAGAGAGTATTTTAGGCCTCGTAGACCATATAGTCTCTCTCATAACCATTGAGCTGTTGGTATGGAAGCAGCCAGACAATAGGTAAGTGAACAGATAAGAGGCCAGATGTGACCTGTGGTCCTAGTTTGATGGCAACCGCTCTAGATCACCAGAGTCCAGCGTGGTGAGCTTCCCAGTCTGCCCCTCACAGCCTCCAGGGCAGGGGCTCTGTCCCACTCAGGCCTGACTCTGGGAGCGCTCAGTGGGGACACTGAACTCAATGGACACACAGCTACTTGGCCTCTGATACCACAGGTCTAGGACTGGGGGCTCACCCCGTCCTTAGGACACCCCTTCCTTCTCCTTGGCTAGTTTTATGTAAATCCTCCCATATACTGGCAAACACTAGGACCCCATCTGCTCCCTCTGCCCTGGACAGTCCACCAGGGACTGGGGGACAGAGATCTCTGAATCTGCTCGTTTCTGCCTTCCTTTTCTAGAGTCCACATAGTATGTTTATAGCTGAGCTTCCCTCACACTTTGCTTAGACACACCCTGTATGCACAGGGCTAGCAGGAAAACCCGAGGAGTCACAGTCCACCTGCACAGGGGGTGTCCAAAGCCCAGAGACGGGGAGGATGGTTATGGGCAACAACAAAGAGGTCAAGAACCAGCTCTCCTGCCTCATGGCCTAGAGACCCCAGAATGGCACCCCAAGCCCAGCACTGAGGGCTGCTTGGTCGGTAGTAAATATCAACACTGCCTTTTGGTAAATCACAGCTCATAAACCATGTTAAAATAAACTCAAATCTCGTGATCTCACAGGCTGATGTGCTTCTTCCATGTGGGCTTTATTGCTTCTCAGCTAGATGGCCATTTGTTTGTCTTCAAGCTTTTAAGACCCCAGGTGCGATATCTTTTGATAGCCGGGCACCATCAGCTTTCTTCACCACATTTGCTTATGCACCCATTTTGATCCCAATTCTATCTTACAAGTCTGGCTAGACCAGAACATGTACACCGGTACAGATAAGAGCTCAAAACACAGGGAATCCAGAACAGATAAACCCCTCAGGACCAATAAGGGGAGCAGCAATACTAGGAGGGTAGGGGTGGGGCAGTAAGGGGGAACCGATCACAATGATTGACATATGGTCCCCATCCCACGGGGGCGGACAGTAGTTAGTGTAAGACATGAAAAGACAAAAGAATAATTATAAATTATTAAGGGGGCATGGGGAAGGGAGGGGGAAAACGAGGAGCTGATGCCAGGGGCTCAAGTAGAAAGAAAATGTTCTGAAAAAGATGATGACAACATATGTACAGATGTGTTGACAAAATGGATATAAGTATACATTGTGATAAAAGCTGCAAGAGCCCCCAATAAAATAAAATTTAAATAAAAATTAGAAAAAGAAACTCAAACCAAACTCACTGCTATTGATTGAGTCAATTCCAGGACAGGGTAGCACTGCCCCTGTGAGTTTCCATGGCTGTAAACCTTTACAGGAGTAGAAAGTCTCATCTT